TCCCCACAGTATCCAAGGGACCTCTGCAAAGCCGGCTCCTCCATTATCTTGTGCGGTGCTGTGTTCTGGAATTCACCGTACTTCTTCTTCTGTGACCAATAAGGTGAAGGGAAAAATGACATGGGAAGCAAAAAATAGCATTTCCACCAGAGGGGAAATGCTGACAAGACATGGGTGGAGCACCCTCAGAGGCCGGCCCGAGGCTGAGGCCTCGTTTGCCCTGACTTGGAAACCCTCAGCTTTGTGTCCTTACTTCCAGCCTAAGTGTGCTGAGCACTAGGCCCCCTGGCTTGCACACAAGTCCTCATGTTTATATCAGAGAAAGTCCTGCTTGCTGAAGCCTTTGCCCAGGCAGAAACCTGACTTTCTAGCCACCCAGGTCTGGTCTCAGTGCCTGCATGGAAGACCTGCCTTGTCTAGTTAGAGCCAGGCAGTGCTGAGGGGTTAAATCACACCAGCCTGAAGCCCACTACCTTGAGACTCAACCAGCTCCTCTGCTGTATACTTTGTCTGCTGTATGCTCCATGCTGCTCCTGGACTGACTTCAGTTTCTCTGGCCCAGGTTGACTGAAGCGTCACCTTCTCCAGGTTCAGTCTGATCCAGAGTGCCTGGCTGAGAGCAGCCTTAGTGTCCCCAGAACCAATCTTGCTCTCATGGTCCAACTCTTCCTTACCTTCGCCAGGGCATTCACACAGGTGAACGGCCTCCCCTTCAGCGGGGTTTGTCATGCAGGTTTACAGGTCGTGTAAATCACCACGGCCTCCAAGGCACACCGTCTCTCCTACCTATTCCCTGACCCATGAGATGCCAGTATTCATGTGCCGCTCCCCTCCAAGACCCTACCACATCCGTCTCAATCTTCTCCCTCCCCCAAAGTGATTACAGAAGAAACTGAGGCAAAGGAACATGGATAGAAGAGGAAGGGAATGCTGTGGGTAACTGGGAAGTAACAGGCTCCTCCATTATGGTGGGTTCCATCCTGACAACCCATGGTAAGTCGAAAGCTCATTCAATGCTCCGATCTACCGAGCTACAATGTATGAGATGCCCCACACCCAGGGTGCCACACTCCTTGTGATACTGACCTACGATGAGACAATGGTCTCACTGCCTCCCTTTGGGCAATGTCTTGAAAGGTGACCACACCACAAAGTACAGGCCTAAAGGAAGATTAAAATTAGAAATCTGAAGTACAGATTCTATTGAATGCTTATATCTTTCACATGGCCTCGAAGTCATAAAATCACACACAGAGTCCTCCTAAATAAAATAGTCACCGTGGGCATGTTTCACCTTACTCCTTCTACTGTCCAGATGCCTACCCTAAGAATGTGCGTGTAGACACAGAAAACCTCTAAGAAAACCTTCTGCAGGAAGGACATGAAACTTCTAGAAAAGGGCAAGAATGGGCTCATTTTCCAGAACAGTCTTGGTTCACGACTATTGTCCAGGCGTCCTGACAATTCAGGGTTTGTCCCCGCCACTGCATTGCACCACCAGCACCTGCAAAGCTCAGGTGCTCGGGCCACTGCCGTGGGGAGTTGTCCCTGGCGGAGCTGCTTGTCTTCCCCTCCTTTGCCCTCCCGCCCCTTCCTAATCCTTTTTCTAGACATTCTAAATTCTAGAGGGAAGCCCCGCCTCAATGTCTAAGATGTTAACTGCTAAATGACCGTTTCCATTTACGGAAGCCAGAGCATCTGGTGACCTTTGTACAGGCCTGTCTTTGGTCTTCCGTTCTGTGTACCTGACAACGTTCGGCTTATGAACCAATGTGTGGTTCACCTCGCAGAGAAGTATATGACTGCCCACACAGAACTAGAGTACTCAATGGCCACGTGGGTGGTCTCCCTGGCAGTGCACACAGCTGGCCGCTTATGTTGCCCAAAGGGACCCTGAGGACTTCATTTCCCACCAAACATCTGTGTCTCAAACTTGTCCCCACTCTAGGCTAAAGAGAAGTACATGGGGTACCTTTGGGGAACCCCAGAGCCCAGTTGCCAGGGTTAACACTAGCCAAGCCATCATGGCCATTTACCATGTCACAGGCCCAAGGCAGGATCAAGTTCAAGTTCCCTTGGCAACACAACAAACATCTCAAAGAAACGGGGCATTGCCAACATGGATGAGAAAGTCTGAAGACATAGCAGTGGAGGGGCCACTCATCTCCAGTGCTTTGGGGTCAAATAAATCTCCAGTTGTGATATGCTGGGCAAGTTGTGAGCGCTGGCCTTATGGGTGCTTTCACAGCACAGCCCCTCCTTCGTCATGCGCACCAATAAATGCTACATCCTGTCCAAAAACAAGTAAATGAAAAGAGCTGTAGGCATTAACAGCAAGGAGTGAAGGGCCACAGAAGTGTCCCAAAGAAGAACAAAGGAGACGTACTCTGGGTGACAAAGGCCTGCTCGCCAGACAGACACCTTGAGGTACAAGTCTTTTCCCTCCCTAGAGAGGTCCTGTGCACCTCCAGACTCCCCGGGATCGAGCTGTAAGGGTGGGTTATGACGCTCTAAACTCAATTCCGCCTGCTAATTCTTGTCTCATGAATACTGCCCTTCAAGAAGCAAGCCTCGAGGATCCTAGCCCCGTAACACAGAGAGACTGTAAGAAGACAGAATCAGCTTATTGTCCAGGAATACATACATAAACACCATTCAACTAAGCAGTAACCGTGTGTGTACACTACATACATGTGCTCTGTGTGTGCCTATGCTTTCCACACCCATGGATGCCTGGGCACTGGAAACCCAGACGAAGCTTTGCAAACGTCGGATTCGGGTTTGCCTGCTTACATAGCCACGTAAGCTTCTACTCTATTTATTATTCCTCAAGAACTCTTGTTATAAACCTGTCCTGTTGTGATAAGAGAAGCCCTGGCGTGGCAAAGCCACTCCTTTGGGGAGTTGTCCCGGGCAGAGTTTACCAGCTTTGGCCTCCCCCTAAGGTTCTTGCCCTTTCCTAAGCCTTTTACATCACTCTTTCCCTTTTGCCCAGCATTCTAAATCCCAGAGATAAGGCCACCAAAATGGTTAAGGTGTTAACTGACACATAAACTTCTATCACTTTACAGAACCCATTGCTTCCGGTGACGCTTGTAATACCTCTCCTCCATCTTTAGTTCCGGGCATCCACGTTTTAACTTGCAGAAACATGGCGTGTCTCTCAAAAAAAAAAAAAAAAAATTACAGGAGCTGGTTTCAGGAGATGCAGAACGCTATGATGTGTTGAGAAGAAGACACAAGAGACATGCCAGGAGCAATGAAGACCCCACGTGGGGTCCTGCCCTGCCTTTTTCTCCCCCACGGAATCCCCTTTGCATTCCTAAATCCCACAGGTGGAGCTGTGGCAAGGACGTGAGCTGTAGACCTCCTTCAGAGAAACCCTTGATTAAATCTGATTCCTTCCCAGCAATTGCTGCCGCACTCATTGGCCTCCAAGCGGTGGTCAGCCTGGACGTCACTGCAGTAACATTGGGGCAAGTAGAAGGATGGTGGGTGAAAGTCAGGAGTTAGATAAAGAGACAGAGAGATGACAAGAAAGGTAAGAGAAGGAAGGGTGGGAAACGAGTAAGAAGACGGGGGAAGGGAAGGGGTTGGTTTTATATGTAACTGTAAATTCCCGGGGCAAAGGGCATGCTGCACTCTGCCATGCTGAAGTGATCTGCCACCCACCCTCCACGTGTTCCCGCCACCATCACCTTCATGTCCCAGGTCCCAGATTTCCCGAAGCCCAGCTCTCCCCAGTGCTCAGTTTGGAATAAGATTGCACTGAGGATGGGAGAGGCAAATGACATCCAGTGAGGACCGTGGGCGTGTTTGGTCCTGGCCCTCGGGGAAGGAATTCACTTAGGGAGGGGAAGCTCCCATTCACACCTGGGGAAGCTAAACCACCATACCACTGTGACAGTCTCTTTGAAGGATTCTATTGCCATCCTGCCACACGGGTGGGCTGGCCCTAAGGAGTGAGAGCCTTTGTCTCACAGCAATTTCACAAACTACATCTCGTTTTGTCTCCTACCCCTCAAGGTTGCAAGCCCCACGGCCGTCCAGCATTAGGAAGAACTCAAATGAGGTTCTCACCTGGCAGTTGGGGCCTCTGTGTGGGATGAGAGGATACGAGTCTAGTTCATCACCGTAACGGAATCTGGCCATCACTCCAGTGCCTGTGGTGCCTTCGGTCCTCCAGGCACCATTAGTACACACACACACACACACACACACACACACACACACACACACACACACACACGAGCCCATCAAATCTGGAGGTCCTTCCTTCTCCTCCCAAGGGCTCTGACCTCCACCTAATAATGCCGACCATTGGCATGTACCCTATTGAGAACCAGGAGCTTTGGCATGGCCTGGGACCTGCTGGAGATATGAATGACTAGACCATCTGAGTCTATGTTTAACAAGACTTCATTCAAATTAACTGTCAGAAATGCTGTTCAAGGTGCAGACCCTCTGGAGAAGGTTCTGGTCACAAACAGAACTGTCTGCCAGTCCATGCTAGTCTAATTCTATTCTGGCAATCCCTCACAACCTCCCACAGCCTCACGTCACTGAGTTACTACTTTCACAGGCCCCTCTACACTTCAACAAAGCCTCTGCAGGAATTAATAGTTTTCAAAAAAGAAAAAGGAAGGGGGCCGGGGAGACAAAACCACGTGATATGCTAAAATTTTAAGATGGGAGATTGAGAAGAGGAAGGGGGGGCACGGGCTGCCCTGTTTCTTCCCTCTGCTTCCCTGGTTCCTTTCTGGGAGACTCACGCCAGGGCTTCCCCTTTGTTCTCCACATGACTAAAGTGCACGGGTTCTGCCTAATCACACTGCTGGCTGCTTGGCCGCTTCTCGCCAGTTCCTCCAGCTTGCTTAGACTTCAATGGCCTGCAGACTTGGCACATAGCATATCTACCTGCCTTTGTCACACCCCCTAAGAAGGCTCTCTGTGGTGGCCTGGCAGGGTAGAGAGGCTGCTGGGTCTCCAGACGTCAGAGCATGGAAAGGTCCATCCAACTCCTGGCCTGCTTGGCATGTGTCCTCCAGATGGGTGAGTTTCCCTACTTAATCTGACCCAGAACAGAGAAGGCCTTAGCTATGGTCTTCTCTCCTCAAAATTCAGCAGCTGAGTTTGCCCACAGATCTATGCAGGAGAAAAGCTATGTATTAGAGCGCTGTGGTCCAGAGGGCTGAGGACCAAATCTTGGCCTTGTCTTGGGCTTCCAAGTGTCCTGGGCAGTGCCCTGATTTCATGTGCCTCAGTGTTGACCGCTATACAAAGGGCATGTCCCTACCATTTGCTGTGAGGGGGAAACATCCCTAAAATAAGGAAGAAAGTGCCAGCTCTGGACACATTTTGAGGGTTGCTGTCACCCAACTTGCCCCAGGGACAAGGAGAGACAAGGGCACCACAATCTTGTGGTGTGGTGGCACAGGATAAGGATGGTTCTATGTGGGGGATCAGGCCAATGACAGAGGCTGCACTAACGTGCTAACAGGGACGTTGTGGGGTGAGTGGAAACTTCTCAAGGATGCCTGGCCTACCTGCTTCAGAACCAGGCGAGCACATAAGCTAACACGCAAATTCTTTGGCTTCATCCACGACCTTCAGAATCAGAAATATCAGGCAGCAAAACTCACCTTTGCCAGCCACCTTCTCAGGAGATGCCAGTGTCCAGGGTATTTGAGAGTAGCAAGGACAAATGGCAAAGACAATGCCCAGAAGCCCTTCTCTCCCAAGCAGTCCTTTCCCCAACCCCAGCCTGGGACAGCCTGCCATAACTACTTCTAAATAGTGTCTATGCCATCACATGTGTGACCACCAGGTGCCACATGCCAACATCATAGCATTCTGAGTCATCAAGTCAGCTTCGCTGGTGCGGGGACCGGGAGGAGCTGATGGATGCACCCTGGTGTGTGGGGCTCCAGCTCATACCCTGCCATCCCACAGGGGTAGAGGTGGGCATCGGTAATGGCTGTTTCCCCCCGTCAGGGGATCCAACTCATAAATCTTAAATCTTTCTGTGAGGGTGGGATCTAAGGGGTTAATCGTGCCCTGACCTGGACAGGCAGATCTGTGATTTGCTAAGGACACAGAAATTGATATCAGGTGCAAACTTCAGGAACCAGCCCTGGCATTCATAAGCTATGAGCAGGCCAGATCACTGCAGCCAGGAGGAAATGGGAAGATTGAGTAAGAAGGTCTTTGCTGTTGCCAGCAAGCATTGTGGGAAACCTTGCTCACCTGAGGAAGCCCTACTTAGGAGAAGGACAGAAGCAGAGCAGAACCAGAACCACCCTGAAGAGCAGGACAGGGACCTGGTACGTGAACAACACCCTGTGGTGGGCACTGATTGCAGGCCAGGACCAACCTGAGGCTCTACCTCCCCATTAGCTCAGATGACTGGGACACATCACAACCACACGGCTGGAGAAACAGCACTAGGGGCATCTCTGAAGAGAAATAGAGACTAACCCAGCCTTCCCTCACACCCCTCAGACTCACCCATTCTGTTGTTAAAGGGTAGCTTTCCTGCTGTCCACATTTTCCTCCGCTGACAAGCTGCTCTGCCTCCCACACGGTCAAAGAGACAATGGCTAACTTGAGTGGAAGGGCAGGAGAGCCGGGCAGGACACGGTCCGTGAACAGCAATGTACCCCGTTAGTGAAGTCTGATGGCTAGGCTGAACATAGCTTTTGGTCCCTAAACCTGACCCTCTGGGTACTGCCATGCCTGAGAGACCACTGGGGCCACTCTTGAGAACCCCTGCTAGCACGCCCATGTTTTGAGGAAAACAGCCCCTTACAGATAACTGGGGTCTTCAGGCTGGCTCCAGGCCTACCAGAAATGTTAGCACTGGGGAGAGAGGACAGAGACAGAAGTCTTTGGTAGACTGCAGTTCTCACATCTGACACGATGCCATCCTTCCTGGATGTTCACTCAGTCCATATGACTGCCCACCTGACAGCATTCCACACCCCGCCCTCAAACCATGGAGAGCTATTCTGTAAAGGCCACCATCGCCAGTCTGATTCTTTTTACGTGTCATTCTTTGGCCCTTTCCCCACCAGGAGGTTTACTTCCAGGTCTGGGTCATCCCTGGAGACCTTTAACGCAACCATTATGGAAACATCAGAAGATGCTTGAAGGGGGCCGGTCCCTACCCCCGCCACACACACACACACACTGATAAGCAGTAAGTGTGACTATGCCAGTACCTCACAGGTGGTCCGCACAGACTCCCACCTCCTTTATCACCGAGGGACTGGTGGGAATCTTTGGCCAGCTGCAGCCAAAGCAAAGGTTTCCGAGTCTGATCCAGTTTCGACTCTCCCTGCTCACCGTCTGCAGCTGGGTTCCTCTCCCTTCCTACTTCTGGAGTAGTACATTAAATTACCCCAACCACATCACAATTATGAGGGCATGGTCACTTTGAGGGGCACTCGAGAAGCTTCAGGGGACCTGTAAGCTGCGATGAAAACATCTTGTCTAGGAGCTGTTTGCTGGTTAGTTGGTGTGGCTTACTTTTAAGTACCTAAAATGTTTTAACTAGACATAGCTCTAAAATATTTTATGGGCTGTCAATTTTACCCAAATGTAGCTTTAAGATTTTGGTGAGTTCTTTTCTTAATTGCTGTTTATGTTGTTTGAGAGTCTTATCTTGTAATCCAGATTGGCCTAGGACGTACTATTTAGCCTAGGCTGGCCTTGACTCTTGAATCTTGATCTCCCTGCTTCAGCCTCCTATGGACTAGGAACATACATTTTAGAAGCTGTGGAAAGATAATGCCAGGTGGGCAGTCATCACCAGGAACTGACTGTGTCTCCAGGACGGATGGTATCCCAGCAGTGAGACCTGTCATGCCCAGCCAGCCAGAATTTTAGACTCATTCGCATGAGTGAACACCCTGAAATAGTATTTCATGGAGGAGCGAGCAAGCCAACAAGCATAGACCCTCACCTACGTTCCCACAGTCAATTTCAGAGCCAGGGCTGGAGCCCCTGCCTCTCCATCCAAGGGATGCACCATTGAAACGAGGTAACATTGAGGACAGTGACCTCCCACTCATGTGTACCTGGTACACAGCCTGATGCAGGAGCATGATGAGTCAGAACCCTCAGGGTTTTATTCCTCCCCCGAAGGGCACTATAGGTTGGTCACTTCAGCCCTAGGCTATCTTTTAGCGGAGCACCTGTCACCCAGCCTGATACAAGGTCCTGGTGAGTCATAGCTCTATAGCTTTCCTCCTGTAAACAATGTTTTTACTGTATCACTTCTGCTCTGTGGTTTCGCTGTTTCCATGGACTCCCTCCAGGTTTGGTGAATGCCAGCTACCTTAAATGGCCTTACAAGCAGAAGCCACCTCGTAGCTCTTCAATTTATATTTTCCTTACCAGAGCCAGAATGGTCACCTAGGTTCAGCTATGCCAAAGATGGCATGCTCCCATCATCCAGGGTGGCCCACCCTGGGGGCAGACAGATACTTGGGGCAACAAGAAGAGGGTGGGCTTCCCATTGCCGCCTGGAAGTTGCCAAGCACTAAGGCAGGCAGAGAGAGCATGCAGAAAGTGTCACATTCTGAGTCTAGGATCATCCCTGCCACTTCTTAGCAGGCAGTCAGGAGCTGCCAGAGGCAATGGTAAATGTCACCGGATGCTGCGAGGAGCCAGGATCTCTGCCAAACCAAATGTCTTTGTTCTCTGGACAACACCTGCTCAGGTTGCTCACCTTCACCTTGAACCCTCTGGGCGGGCGGGTCCATCCAAAGAGTCTGCCTAAGAGACAGTCCAAGCATCGCTCCTTTGAGTGTGCTCAGAAAGTGAGCAAGAAGTACATATTTGCCAATGGGAGCCAAAAGGAAGCCTGTGGTGGAGGGCTCTCTCTGTTAGAGCAAACCCTACCCGAGCCTGCCGTTCAGGTCATATTTTATCATACTTCATGGCAGAATACAGATCCGGGCGGAATGCACAGAGGAGTGTTGCCTGAACTCAGAGTAAGGAAGTTCAGCCTCTATTACCATTTTCTCATGGCAAAGCTGATGGAAATAGCACATCCCCACCTTGCCTCCCCTGGTAGCAGAGCCCTCACTACGCTGACCTGGAATTCTGCCTGCCCATGTCCACTTTGAGTGTTGCTGTGGTATTAGCTAGGGAACTTTCCCCCAAACTTCAAGGCAAATATTTGTTTTTGGTTTTCTTGCAAGCCCCACCCCCAGGCTTTTACCTTTAAAACCTTAAATGTTACTATTGACAGCCGAAGGCAGGACAGGCAATGAGCAGATGAAGAGCCTTGCAAACCTTCTGTGTGAGCTAAGAAGCTTCTGAATGTATTGTGCAGTCCCTGCAGAAAGCTGGGGAAGTAGCAAGGAAATGCTGCATTTCAGTGCATCTTAAAATACTGCATTAAAATCCAAAAGGGGAGGTAGGGCTGGGGGTGGTGTTGCACACCTTTAATTTCAGTGCTTGGGAGGTAGAGGCAGGAGGATCTCTGTGAGTTCGAGGCCAGCCTGGTCTACAAAGCTACACAGAGAAACCCTGATTTGAAAAATCCTCACCCCCCCCAAAAAAACATTACATTAAAATACTAAGGCAGCCAAAAAGAAAATAAGAAAGAAAAAACCTGGTTCTTTGGACTTTAAAATTGTTTGTATTGGCTTATTTTATTTTTGTTTAATCAAATAAAGAAAATATATTTTACAACTGTTCTTAAGCAACTGAGCCTGGAGGCTAAGGTAAGAATATAAATACAGGAGGTAAAACCACCAGAGGTGAGCCAAGGCTGTCAGGAGTTGGTCACCAACTGGCCTTGCCAAGTCACTTTGTGATCCACAAGTCCCAGATGCCCTTCTCACAGACGGGCCAGTGATGGCATCTCATGGGGTTGCTGTGTGTTTTAAATGGGATGAGGAATGACCCACCCCTTTCCTAGGCAGTCTGACCTCCATCGTGTCTTCTCGGCCCCGTGATGCCCTTGCCTCACGCTTTCTTTCTCAGTGTTTTGAGACAGGGTTCCATGTATCTTGAACTCCCTGTGCACTCCCATCACCCCTCTTCCTGGGTGCTGGGGGCACAGGCACACGCACACTCGTCTTCTGGGGGCACAGGCACACGCACACGCACACGCGTCTTCTGGGGGCACACGCACACGCACACGCGTCTTCTGGGGGCACAGGCACACGCACGCGCGTCTTCTGGGGGCACACGCACACGCACACGCACGCGCGTCTTCTGGGGGCACACGCACACGCACGCGCGTCTTCTGGGGGCACACGCACACGCGTCTTCTGGGGGCACAGGCACACGCACACGCACATGCGTCTTCTGGGGGCACACGCACACGCGTCTTCTGGGGGCACAGGCACACGCACACGCACACGCGTCTTCTGGGGGCACACCGTATGGCTGGTCCTTTGGTTCTCCTGTCCCTTGTGCACAGACTGTCGCCCCAGGTCTTAGTGGAATTCCCTACATTCTCTGGGCTCTGCACACATGTACCTCTTCTCTGATGGACTCCACAGCTCCTGCCTGCTATACACAATCCGCGCATACTCTCTACGGCAGCCCCCATCCTCCCCACAGCTTGACCCCTTTTACCCCAGGGTACAGGGGAGAGATGCCAGAGACAGGTTTGGGACTCCAAGAAGAGAATTCTGACAGGGGTGATTCCACAGAGAACAGAGCTTGAATAGGAGGGAGCCGGTGAGTGAAAGTGGGCTGGGAACCATCTTCAGACAAAGACAATGTTGTTTGTGTCCTTTGGTAGAGCATCTGGCAGAGTGCAGCCTAATTACATGTTCACTGATCTTCCTTCATCCAGCTCCAGCAGGCTGATAGGGTACCCTGCTCATCTTTGTCTGCACAGCTCATAGCCCAGCATCTGGCATGGAGTGCAGAAGTATCCAATACTCGTTTGCTGGATTGATGAATGCACAATAGCAGACAAGGCACAGGCAATCAGTGTCTGACCCCGGGGGCCCAAAAGATGCAAAGAGCAAGCAGGCTAAGGTCACGGAGGGTAGGAAGCACAGGGAAACTGAGGCAGAGGCTGAGGGTGCACACCCATAATCCCAGCTTCTAGGAAGAGGAGGCAGGAGGATTGCAAACCCAAGGTCTGTTTGAACCACATAGTAGGACCCCATCCCAACAACAACAAAAAAAAAATCAGAAGGGCATAATGGTGTTCGCCTGTAGTCCAGCACTCGAGGAGCTACAGCAAAGGACTAAGTTTGAGTCAGATTGGAATATGCAGCGAATTCCAGGCCAGCTCACACTACATTGTCAGAAGGACAGATAGATGACAGACAGACCGGCTGACGAAACTTTCTTCAGTTAGAAGTACTGACGGGATGGACACCATCCTCAGTTTCATCACACTTGAAAAGCAGCCCTTTGGTTCCCAACAACTGAACAAACAAGTTCTTACTAAGGGTAAATGTCAAGCCCTCCACTTGTATTCAAACATGTAATTCAACTTGTCCAGAACAAAGAGATTACTGGGAAAAAAAAAACCCAACAACAACAAAGCAGGTGTTATGAAAAGGAGCTGTGGTCTTCCGGCTGTGTGCCCACAGCAGGACCTGGCTGGAGGTGCAGCAGCCCAGCCCAAGGGGCATAAGAACTCCCCACTCTGCAGAAGCCACACACTAGGGCCACCTGGGGCAGGGTTTGAAGGGAAAGGAAAGGGGGAAGGCACAGGGGAAGGATCCAGCCTCTCCCCTGTAATGAGACTAGCCATGGTAAGCTCCTGCCAGCGCCAGCATGGGCATGTACATGCTCCCTCCGCAATGGCAGGTCTGGAGTGCCTCTGTGCAGGAGTTCCCTGCCCATCCACAGGCATGTGGGCTCCATGGGAGATGGGCCACCTACCAGTGGTGTCCTGAGGGTATTTCTACCCAAGTCAATGACGCTAACTGGCCACAAAGAGCGCTGGGTTGGCATGGGGGTTTGGGGGAGCTGGCCTTTTCTCTTTCTACTTGCCTTCATTTACACATCTCTAACAATCTCTGCCCCGTCTTTTTGCTTTCAGCGCAGATGGCATGGTGCTTATAAAGGAACTGTGTATAACACAATTCTAACTATTCCCTGTAAAGGTCCCTTTTGTGCACTGTGCCCCAGGACACTGGCTAGACAGGCACCTGAGCCTCTTAGAGAGGTACCACCCTGGGATTAGCCTCTGAGGCTGAGCACCTGCACCTTCAAAGCCATAGCAACACAGGGCCCTGCGGTTTGCCAGCCCTGGGTGAACTGGAGGCAGGGCTCAGCTTCCAACCCTTAACTCCACATCCGGAAGACTATTCACTGGGTAGATTAGTGAGTCTAATGACCCTTTCCACAGAGCAAGGAGGGAATGCAGAGCCCACCACTCTGGTCTAGTGTTTCCTGGACACTGCCCCTGTAAGAAGCCAGCCCAGGACATAGTTCCCTTGGACTGACTCTGGTTCTAAAGAAATTGTTCCTGCCATCTCAACACGTGTGTGTCTCAAAGCACTGTCCCCTCCCTGCCAGGGCCCCAGTTTCTCCTCTACAAAGGAAACTTAGTGGCTCAACTGAACCCACAGCTTTTTGCCTTCAAGGCACTAATACACCGGCTGTGGACCCAGAAATGTCTTACTTGAAGGCTGGCTTTGCCTCAACCTGGATGTGGCCTCAATTATTTAACTTTGTGCCTCGGTTTATTAACATGTAACAGGGTATCTATGCTTATCTGTAGGCTCGCTTGTGAGAACTACGAGAGATGCTCTGGGGGATTTGCTCGACACAGAGGTGCACAGTAAGTGATTTTCACCATCTTAAGGGTCTTGTAATCTTGGGATATCACAGCGTTTCCACAACTACTCAGGTTTCAGGTGGGGAGACATGCTAAAGAGCTGTATCCACAACTAGGTCACACGCCATGAATGAGGTGGTCTGGAGAAACCTCCATCCCGTCCCCTTTCTCTTAGTCATGGTCTAGAGAGATGTCTCTAAAGTCAGGAAATGGAGTTCCAGCTGAAGGGAACTGAGCGCTGCCTGAGTCCTGGTGTTTGCTGCCCTCGGGGACGGGGGCGGGTAACAGGGAGAGGAGATGCCACCACAGGTCAGGGACCGAGTCTCCCCAGGCTATGTCTCATGTGTCCCTGGCCAGCAGGTGCGCCGGAGCAGCGCTGGTCCATGCAGGTGCCAGCGGAGGTGAGCGCGGAGGCGGGCGAGGCGGCGATGCTGCCCTGCACCTTCACGCACCCGCACCGCCACTACGACGGGCCGCTGACGGCCATCTGGCGCGCGGGCGAGCCGTACGCGGGCCCGCAGGTGTTCCGGTGCACCGTGGCACGCGGCAGCGAGCTGTGCCAGACGGCGCTGAGCCTGCAGGGCCGCTTCCGCCTGCTGGGCAACCCGCGCCGCAACGACCTGTCCGTGCGCGTCGAGCGCCTCGCCCTGGCGGACAGTGGCCGCTACTTCTGCCGCGTGGAGTTTGCCGGCGACGCCCACGACCGCTATGAGAGCCGCCACGGGGTCCGGCTGCGCGTGACGGGTAAGGCGGGCTGGCGGTCAAGGGGCGTAGGACCCAACTTCCCCACAACCCTGTTGTGCTAGGTGCCAGGGAGGCCCCCCGAGAACTTGGTAGAAATGCAGAATTCAGATCCTAGGAAAGGCTGGGCAGGGGCTTGTAGGTGGTGTCCGGATGCTCATAAACACCCGTAGCTGGCAAGGAAGGGGAGAAAAATCAAGCAACCAGTAATCCTAAAGACGGCAGGGGTGCAGTAGGGGGCGTGGCCACCCTCTGAAGAATTTCTCACCCTGCCCCCACCCCCTGCACATCCCTTATGCCTAGAGAACTATTGCAGCTGGCGCCCTCCCTGCGTCCTGACCATTGGGTGAGCACCATCTGCAAAGTCCAGCAGTCTAAGCAACACACAAGTCTTAGTTTGCCAAATCTCAGGGACCCCGTAAAACAAAGGCAATTGTGATCACCCGTTTACGCACGGAGAAACTGAGGCAAAGAAGGCAATAGCTTGCTAAGACCACGGCTGCAATAGGACCCGGGCAGCCTGGCGCCCAGGTGTTCTGCTCCTCTTTGGGCGCTCCCTTACCCTACCCTTCCAGCTTGGGGGTCGCCACTCCTTGCCTTGCCAAGCCGTCGCCTCTCTCACGCTTTCGGGGCGCTGTCCTCTGCCGGGTGACCCGCGCCTGCCTTCTTCCCCCGCAGCTGCGCCCCGGATCATCAACATCTCGGTGCTGCCAGGCCCCGCGCACGTCTTCCGCGCGCTCTGCACGGCCGAGGGGGAGCCCCCGCCTACCCTCTCCTGGTCGGGCCCGGCCCTGGGCAACGGCACAGCTGCCATGCCGGGCCAGGCTCACGGCTACCAGGTGACCGCCGAGCTGCCCGCGCTGACCCGTGATGGCCGCTACACGTGCACGGCAGCCAATAGCCTGGGCCACGCGGAGGCCAGCGTCTACCTGTTCCGCTTCCATGGCGCCTCTGGAACCTCGACGCTGGCACTCCTGCTCGGGGCGCTGGGCCTCAAGGCGCTGCTGCTGCTTGGCGTTATGGGTGCGCGCGCCACCCGCCGTCGACTAGGTGGGTGCAACCCAGCTTTGGGTGGGTGTCCGGGGGAGGACAGGGGCTCGCTCTCCTTTCTGGCCGTCCCCTTGGCATAACACATCAGAGCATCCTTTCTCCAACTGCACCAGCTCAGTTCCTTCTCTGCTTGGAGCTCCAGAGGTGGGATCTGCCTAAGGCTCTTTGCAATGAGCCACGGCACTGCAAAGTACCTTGCTTTTGGCACAGTCACACAGATAGTGACCCAGTCCTGTCAGCTGTAGAACACCTAACACCAGACCACAAATCGTGCTCCATAAACATCAGGCCTCAGGCTTCCCCTTACATTGTAACTAGCATCTTGAGGCCCTGGGGTTATGGACCATGATGCTGAGGACTCAAAGATGCCTGGATGTGATTGCCTGCCAGCACGTGGAAGACTGAGTCTGCAGAGCTTTGCAGTACCAGTGGGGCCCCGTCCCTGTCCCCCGCCCCAGAAGGGCTCCCATAGATCCCGGAAAGTGTAGAAGGCAGAGGACATGATGATATGCTGAGGCTTTAATAAGTGAGGTGAGAACTAAGTCTGTAAGGATGCATGAGCTCGGAAGACATGAATGGCACTCCTGGCTGGGGAACTCTACCTCTTTTAGAAAGTCTCCCCATGCTGCTGTCCTGACCTTGATGGAACATCTGCTTGATGAGCATCCCGGAGGTTGCTTCTCGGAGCCTTTCAGTGCTCCCAGACATTAGCCTCACGCTCTCCAGGGATGAAGAGCAGAACTGGTCTCAGTGCCCCAGCTGCTAACCCTGCTGTGACCCTGCTGGCTTCTCAAACTTAACAGAACACAGTTGCATGGTAGGGCCCTCCCTCAGAAAGGAAGTTCTGCTCTGTTGGACCTCCCTTAACCCACAAGTTAACGCCTATTCACCTATCAGATAAGGGCTCACGGCCATGTCAGCCAGCTATCCCTCGGCTGCCTGCTGCACATTTCCTGGGGACCCCTTCTCACAGTGGGGTGGGTGGGTTGGAGGCTACAGTGTAAAGTCACAGCTGCTTTCTCTGGGTCCCTCACACAGATCACCTGGTCACGCAGGACACCCCTCCACGGTAAGTGCGATTACTGCCCTTCCCGCCCCACCCCTGTCTAGTCTCATTGGCCCAGGGATGCCAGTTTCTCAGAACTGGTAGCATGAGGAGAAAGAACAGGCTTAGAGCAAAGTTAGGGTAGTAGGGCTGGACTAGGACCTGTGTCATAACCAAACACCTTGCGCCTCCATCCAGCACACCATTCTTGGGACAGAGTAGGCCAGGCTGGCTTGTTCCCCTGACTCAACACACAAGGAGCGTGGTGTCCATGACCATAAATAAAAGCACCAAGCTGTTTTCCTCTTGTTTCTTCCAGCATTCTGGAAACGCTGGCCTTGTAAGGACGCCATTGGAGGAAGACTGCTTCTCCTGGGTTACTGCTGCTTCCCAGACAAAATCACCAAAAACCTGGCTTAGTTGGGGGATCTAGAAAGGCATTAACCCAGGGTCCATTCTTTCCTCTTTGGTGTCTACCCTAGTAAAGGCCCATGTTGAAGGAGAAAGAACTTAGTGCTAGATGGCTCTGCCTGGTGCTGGCTGAGGGACCCAAGTCTCCCCAGCTGCCTGCTCAAGTCTTGATAACCTGTCATATGTGTGTTTCCTTTATTGATACACGAGAGCAAAGTCACATCACTACCTAATACTTACTGAATACCTGCAGTATGGCAGGCAATGATCTGGATGCTAAAGAGACAGAAAAAGCATCCAAACTTGTACCCCAAGGTTTACAGCTTTTCATGACCACATAGCAAGACCATCTGAGATTGTTGAGTTGTAACAGGACTTGAACCAGGTGATAAAGCAGAGCCCTGGTGTGTGGCCAGTTGGCTGGGACTCCTTTAAGTCAGGATATTTTCTCTGAAGACACATCCCTGAAGAGACCATGCCTGATGTTGGAGCCAGGGTGGCCAAGGTGGATATATGGCTCAGGGGGAAAATTGCAAATACAAAGGTCAGGCAGGATGTGGGAGGGAGGAAGGCATGGAAATGTGGGGTGGGCAGGCAAGGTTGGGGGTGATTCTGAGTGAGGTAGAAGTCGGAATGCTTTGAGGTCCTATGTGAGAAGTCACATTCAGAGGGGCCCTGGAGGGAGACCCAGAGGAAGGCTGCTGTTCCTTCTGTCCTGACATCAACTCTGAGGGTAAAGTAGGGAAAGAGGACACTCAAGGTTGGAGCCAAGTCCTGGTCACAGAGATGAGGGGGGAAGAGGGGAGTGAGGGAAAGGGCTGTGGTGTGCTTAGAACAGGCGAGGGGAGAGGTTGGAGGTGTGGGTGTTTGGAAAGCAGTCAGACCTGGGGACATTGGAGACATGAAGCTGGTTTTGAAGTCCCTGACAAAGTTACTTTGTAAGAGATGGTGAGCATGGTTGGAGATGCTGTTGCCTATCCTACATTAATCAGCCTTGCTGGATCTGACTCCAATGCCTCCCATACGGTGTCTTCCTTGACCTATTACTGAGAAACAGCTCAGGAAGTCAAGGACCTCACCAAAAATTGGGTGGTAAGTCAGTTTTCTCCTGTCTGCAGATCTCAGGCTCAAGAGTCCAATTACGAAAATTTGAACCAAATGAGGCCCCCAGGCCACCAACTTCCACGTGTTTACTCTGAGGAACTCCTTGGCCATCACCATCCAATCGTGCACCATGAGAAATGAAAGACAGTACCAGGCTGGACCTGTACAGCTCCTAATTCCCAGGTTTCTCAGCAGCTGTGGGCCATGCAACTTCCAAGGGGACCCAGGACTCTACTCACAGAGGTTCATAGCCCTGTGGTATTATGCCAGTGGAGCCAACAACCTGGAGATATGTATGTATGTATGTGTATGTATATGTATATATAGTAAAGCAGACGGGAAACTAGCCATAAGGTCTGGAGGTCCCGGCTCCAGCCTGTTCTGGCACCAATTTGCGGTGTACAACAGGACATTTTCTTCACATCCCTGGAACTCAGCTGCTCCATGACTGGCCAGTTTGTCAGAAACCAAGGAACCAGTAGATCTGAAGTGGGCCTTTGGACATGTAGAATTGAGATAAGTGTGGCCCTGCTCAGCCTTTAGAGAGCAAAACACTCCGGAGCATAAGTCTGGGGCTGGAGCTATGCAAACTTCCCAGAGGAACAGCAAGCCCTGGAAACTTGATAGCAAGAAGAGGCCTGGACCCCCCTGTGATCTCCACAGTGACTGCCCCAGCCCTCTGCCCGACTGTGATCACGTCAGCTAATCCTCACTGCTTTGAGCTGGGGCCCCCAGGAGAAGGAAACAGAAGACCCATTGCTTCAAAGCATCTGAAAGCCACAAGTGGAGCTGGAGGCCTGGAGGGCACTGGGTTCTTGGGAATAAGGCAGCCATGGCTGACCTCTCTCTGCAGCGCACACCCTCCTAGGATGTGCAAAGTCCAAGAGCACTGGCAATTTCTCCCCACTTGCCCGAGCCCAGCCAGGTCAGCCTTGAGAGCAGTACCTTCCCTATCTATAGTTCAGTGTGCATCTGTGGATCCTGGCGAAGAAGAGGTGTACTTGGGACCAAGTAAGCCATGAGACAGACCATGTTTTTCTGGAGACCATCTCTATAGGTTGAGGGTAGTGGGCTTCCAAGTTTCCCTCCATACCAGAGCCTCAGACAAGGCAAAGGGATGGTGACAGCTCATAGTTGTCTGTGAGTTATACAGGATCCAGCAAGAGCTGCTAAGAGATTGCAGGAGTTGACATCTGGACCTCCCTGCACAGGGGAGCATTAGGGCATCTCCAGAGAGAGCCTTGCATCACCAATGGAAGAGATGGGGACATGGTTATGGTGTGGACTAGGGACTGTTTTAATACCCAAGAAAATCATATGAATTACTGCTTACATATTTTGTTGGGTTAGGAATTGGTATTGGGGATCATGAGGCTAAAGAAGACATCAATGACAGTTGGGGAAGCTAGGCTGTACTGCAATATATGTATGTATGTATACACACACACACACACACACATATGGGGGAGAAAAGGGGAGGGATTTATTAGAATGATTGACAGGCTGTAGTCCAGTTAGCCCAAGAGTGGCTGTCTACCAAAGGAAAGTCTAAGAATCCAGGAGTTGTTCAGTCTCAGCTGGTCTTCAGTACTTGCCAGAATCCCAGAGAAGTAGGCTCTAAAGCCAGTGAAGGGAACAGATTTGCCAGCAAGAGCAAGCAGGCAGTAAGGACAAACTTCCGGTTTCTGTCTTTATCTAGGCTGCCAGCAGAAGGTGTGCCCAGATTAAAGGTGGGTCTCCCCACCTCGAAGGATCAGGATTAAAGGTGGGTCTCCCCACTTCAAAAGATTTAAGTAAGAAACACCCTCACAGGTGTACCCAGCTGCTTGGGTTTTAATTCATCACATACATAGTCAAGTGGACAGCCAAGAACAGCCCATTCCCACTGCAGATTGGCGGGGAGGTTCACTGTTGGTAATTGGGAACCCAGATCACGGGAAATCCATCTCTGATGTCGTGAATCGCTACACTGGAGATAAAAAGAATCCTCCACAAGACATCCTGCTGATCACTGAGCCTGCTCAGCCAAGAGAACAAGCAGTAGCCCTAAATGGTGGATAAGGAACGCTAGGGAAAGTCTCGAGAACACTGGGAAAGGCATTGGTCAACACCACAGCAGCCCCTTCCGGAAACTCAAGCTTGTAAGCCGCACAGTAAGTCCAAAGCCACGCACACGAAAGGGATAACTGGCCCTGTCTTGGGAAGGCCTTCTGGAAGAGCCTACGTGAAGATGGTCCACACTGGCTGTGCTCACGAGATAGACAATAGGGAGCGTAGAGATTGGAAGGTAGGAAGAGGGGGCATTTGAAGCACAGGAAAAATGCAAGCAAAGATGGCATGGTATGGATGCATCTGTTTGTTCCTGGAGCATGAAGGGAGAGGCCGGATGTGAACAAAGTGGACAGAACACTACTGGACGGAGGGTGCTGCCCTGTTGTGTTGCCCAGAGAAGACTGAGTGGACATGGGCTTAAACCAATTGAAAGTCTTTATTAGCCAGCCAGCCAGTGACTACACTGGGTTTTCAGGATCCCAGTGTAACATGAAGGCTTCCTCAGGGTGAGCTCATAAACATGAAAGTCACATCCTAGGTTGGCATACTTCAGTTAAAAAAGAACAGTTAGCCAAAAGCAAAACTACAGAAGCTAAAAGGCAAGTTTAGCACATTCACAGACTTTCTCACAACTATGGACTCTGATGGAGTAGGTCTTTGTTTTTGTTTTAGTGGGTGGTGATGTGCTGTGTTATATGGTCTGAATGGTACTTTCAATCATGGAGTCAATTGTGCTAAGGTCTGGGGGCCTGTTTCACACCTAGCTGGGGTGAGGTCATCACTCAAGGGATTGACTCTGGGATTGAGTAGGTGCTAATTTCCTGGTATTGCTGAGCAGGGCTTCCTGCTTTCATTCATTATTTTCCTTGAGATTCAAGGGTAATTACCTGTGCCAGGAATACTTGCAGAGCTGTTTAAATAAATACCATTGTTGGCCTTACCTGGCCCTACTGACCCATAAGAAAGGGAAGGAGGAAGGGACTAGAATTTTAAGCAGTATCTTCAGGAGACTTTACCCCAAGGTATTGTTGTTTTAATCTTTTTCAACACACACACACACACACACACACACACACACACACACACACACAGCTGGAAAAAGCACCCATGCGCTTACCACCTCCACCAACATCACTCACAGGTTGGTGTTTGCTTACTGCAGATCTGGCTGAACTGTTTGTCTAGATGGAACAAGATGCCTTTCCTCCAATAGCTAGTCTCTGGGAAGGCTCAGGTTGTGATTGGCAAACAAGGACCAGAGACACAAGCAATAATCAAAAGTCATCACACCTGGGACTCAACTCCCCTCTGGCAGGCCAGGGTCAGGGAGCTCCCAAGACTGCACCAATGTGGTACAGGCTGCAAGGCTAAAACATTCTGTTCCTTCAAACCCTAAACCCAGTGGAAAAGATGAGTCTGATCCCACACAAAGATGAGGAGACACACCCCATACCCAGAAGACTGTCCGTGGAGAATCACATGGAATCCACACCCTCCATCTGTAGTTGTCTGTTTTGTTTTTCACTCTTTGGGTGCCCGCCATCCAGTCCCCATGTAAGTACATGGAGGCTTACTTTGCTCATGAATGACCTCCCTTAGCTTGGCTTGTTTCTAGCCAGGTTTTCTGACTTAAATTATCCCGTTTCTCCATGACTACGTTTGTCTCTGGGCTCTTTAGCTTTCTTTATTCTGTATCTCTTTCTTTCCATCTTGCTCCGTGTCTGGCTGTGGACTGGCAGCTGGTGTCCTCTCCTTTTTCGCTCCTCACCCCCTTCCCTGGACTCTCCTCTTTATTCTCTCTGCCTGGAAGCCTCACTTTTCCTGCCTTGCTATTGGCCTATTCAGCTCTTTATTAGACCAATCAGGTGTTTTAGGCGAGCAAAGTCACACAGCTTCACAGAGTTAAACAAATGCAACATAAACAAATGCAACGCAACCCATCTTTAACTAATATTCCACAACATCAATCCACAGCTTGGTGTGTTCCAGGTCTGTCTTCAGTGTCCACAAACCACAGTGCTAAGCAGGAACTTTGGCACATCAATACCAAAGGCAGATTTCCAAGGCAGACCCTGAGCAAACCCAGGTCGGGCTCTGCCAGACACCCTTGCCTCTCAGCACCCTAAACATTTCTGTTGCTCACATACCTTGTGAGCCTTTGTCCGATGGCAAGGCCCTCCTCCTGCAGGGGTCAAGGTCAAGGCCCTCCTTCTTCAGGGGTCAAGGCCACCGTACAACTGTTTCAGCTATCAAGGGCTCTCCTATTTGATGGCCTCTCATACATAACCACCAAACCCCCAAAACAAACACACAAATACACACACACACACACACACACACACACACACAAAGTTAGAAAATTTGTCTTTGAAACTAGAGGTCTTATCATTGTGATGAAATTAAAAAAAAAAAAAAAAAAGCATTCTCAGCCTCGCAAATCACCTGACTTAAAAGTTCTCTTAATGTAATTTATGTATTAAAGGCCTGTCAACCTACTTGCTAAAAACAATGGGACAAGCTCAGCACGAATAAATCACAATGTCCTTTATTTGCAGAATTTCACTTAAGTAATTCTCACGTCTTCTAGTTTCTCACCATTATATAAAAAATACATAATGCATGGAAGCATTCATACAAGCATGGAAAATATTCAACAATGAGTAAGAAGTAAATATTGCACAGTTAGTGACCAAAATAAAACGGTGGTTTTAAAGGTGGCAGGAGACAGGCCAAGAGGATCGTCAGTACTGATCTCCAATATAGAGCGCCTTAAAACTCTGAAAGAAATATTCTCAGTGCTCAGTGGTATTACATGATACACTGGAAATAAGCTGGAGCCAACTTTCCTTACCACTTTCATTACTAAAGCAGGAGTAGCACAATTTTTTTTCACGTTATTCTCAAGAGGAACTCAGGGCCTGAGCAGAATAAAGGACACTGAAAATAAGCATGTGACCTGCCTCTGGTCACATGACCTTTGAATGCTCTGCAAAACAGGAGCATCTTGGTGGAGCAGAGGAATCTGTTCAGGGCCCAGCTCTAAGTCGAGCGCCTCACCTGTCATGACCAGCTATGCCTCAAAGTAAGCT